TAGACCCTGTGCCGCTGCTCAAAACCCTCTGAGACCTGCCATTCACCAGATCTCAACCCACCTCACCATCCACTCATCCAGCCTGCTCTTCCTGAGCTTGCAAGGCATGGGGAATTGACAAGAAGCTTGCCAAGGCAGAAGATTTTTATCAGTAAATATCCTAAGCATGATATAATAAATATTTGCTTGCCTTGAACCCAGACAGAAATACACTAAACCAGCAAACCCAGCAACAACAAACTAGTATTTTGTAACACAGCTAATTGTACAGATAATATGGAACCACAGAGGGACAGAGACTTGGGGTACAGTTTCCCACAAGTGATACAGAAAAACATTCTCAAGTAATAAAATCTGAAAAATAAGAACTAAAGATGCAGAACAAGTGGGAAAGAAGCCTGGCAAAATCAGAACAAATTCTAGTCCTAAAATAAAGAAAAGTTAAATTATTGGTAGCAGACACAATCCTCTGCTTGTTTTGATTGAGAAGGGGTGTGAAACATTAAAACTTCAAGGATGGGAGAGCAAGAACAGAGAGAAAAATCATTCACTTAAGTTCTACCCTTACTGAAGAGCTCTTAAATCTGGCTACCCCAACATCAGTGATTGAAAACCTTGAGAACTACAACAGCAATTGCCACAGCATGCATCTATTCATTGCAAAAAGGGATATATTACTCCTGTGTGTGTAGGAAAATCATGTCCATGTTTGAATTGCATACCCATGAAAAAAAGGGATCTTAATTTACATTTTTTGTCTTCTATTACTGATCAAATGAGGCCACCAAGTGGCAATGTAAATATTTTAAATCACAAAGGAAAACGGTAATAACTTTTAATAACATAACTTTAGAATATGTAGAAAAAATAATCAAGAGAAATGAACACAGATCAAATTTTATGTGCCATGTCATAAAGCCATTTATCTCACAAGTAATCTCATAAGCATAACTTTCAAAAGCTACAGTCTTTTAGTCAAGATGTCTTCAAATATTGCTTTCTTACTCATTTCAGGCAAGCAACCTTAAACCAACTTGAGTTTAAAAACTCAGAGATTGAAATATACATCCTTCCAGTCCTAAATCACAAACCTACTTCATATTTTAGTGTTTCATATTACTTTTCCTTGGCCATCTCTACTACAATGATATAATTTTGTAAAATTCAGGTTTGTTCTTATTCTCCTTCTGGTCATGACTGTCACCCAAGTATGCTCTAAAAAGGCATATGGTACTCTGCTTTCCTCAATTCCTTTCACTCCTTCCACAGAACTAAGTATCAGCAGTATGCCAAAAAAAGAAGGTGGGTGGAATTCCATGTTCTAACATGCCTTCAAACCTTCCTTTTAAAGGCTCCTGTACAGATTTTCTAAGATATAAGGATAAGTGCCAAAGGATATAAGGATAATAATGCCAAAGTACGAGATCTACAAATAACCTGAAAAATGGACCCATTCTGAGAATTCTCGTAGGATAGAGCAATTTGGGAAAGTGCAACTACAACTTCAAATTATACCTATTATGTTTTAGTACAAAGATGTTGGCAAATCATATTTGTAGATACCCAGATATGCTGCCAAAAAAAAAAAAAAAAAAAAAAAAAAAAAAAAAAAAAAAGCCCAGCAAAGCAAAAAGTAAAAAAGTAAGCCCAAACAATTTCAAACCATGAAATTAAAAACAGCAAGGGTGTATGCCTCCTACATACACAGAATCACAGAATTGTTCTGGTTGGAAAGGGTCTCTGCAGGTCATCTTGTACAGACCCCTGCCAAGACAGGGTTGCCTGGAGCAAGAGACACAGGAACATGTCCAGGTGAGTTTTGAATGTTTCTGGTGAGGGACACTCCTTGACCTCCCTGGGCAGCCTGTGGCAGTGCTCTGCTGCCCTCAACATAGAGAAAGTTCTTCCTTTATGTTGAGATGAAATGTCCTGTGGTTCAGGTATGGTTCATATACAAAGCCAGGCAGCTGGCTGGAATCCATGAGATGTGTTCTGAACTATCAGTATACTCAAAATTACCCTAAAGCGCAATAGTAAAATATATCACATCTCACATCAATTTGTGTTTTGCTCCTAACTGAGGGAGTCTTATGTGATAGCTTGAGATCATTTTCTCCTGCTATAAATGACAATACAGTGCCAACTTGTGGACTAATCCTGGTCAGCAGCTAAGGCCCACACAGCCACTTATTCACTTCTGCTCAGTGGGATGGGAGAGACAGAATTGTACTGGAAAAGGAGCAAAACTTGTGGGCTGAGTTAAAGACAGTTTAATAAGGGAAGCAAAGCAGTATATGCAAGCAAAGCAAAATAAGGAATATATTTACCGCTTCCCATCAACAGACAAACCTTTAGCCATTTCCAGGAGAGCAGGGAACAGTTACTTGGGAAGACAAATGGTGTAACTCAAATGTCCCTGCTTCTTCCTTCTCTCCCTGAGTTTTTGCCACTGGACACAATGGCATATGGTATGTCATGTATCAGCTGGAATCAGTTGTCCTGGATGTGCCCCCTAACAGCTTCTTGCACATCCTCAGTGCTTAAACATCTTTGCATCAAGAATTTTTCCCAATATCTGTCTTTTGTTGCATCTTTTGGCAATTGCCCCTTGTCCATTTGCTCCGCACTCCTCAGAAAACCTCTTCCTCTATCCTCACATTGGATAATTGAAGGCAGTAAGATTTTTCCTTAGTCTATTTTTCTTACTGAGAGGCTTTAAAAATTCAAGACTTACCACTGTATACTTCCAGATAAACTTATTGAGCTTTCCAAAGCAGCTGATGATATTAAAATTATTATTTTTTATTCTTTTGAAGTCTTCTAGAACCTTTTTACATTTTCTACTTTGATAAGACAGTAGTGGAAGATAAACTATGTTTGAAAGAAAGCAACAATTTTTAAGGAAATCCATTTACTTGAGGACAAAAACCTATTAATATTGAAAGCTAAGGCTTGGTCCAGCAGACAAGTCTGTTTTAATCTTAAATCTCTTTCAAGTATAAAAATAAAAACTTGCAGTTTCTGGGGGAAAGGTGAAGAGAGAAGATACTTCTGGTTTTGATCTATGTAGAAAAGTTCTCCTGGCTTTTTTGGTTAAATACCAGTAATTATCTAGTATGTTTATCATCAGTTCAAGAACAACAAACCTGGCACCTGAAGTTGCTCATCTGCAGAGATTAAATCTACTTCAGCCTTAGCTTGGATTTAATTGAAAGTTTACTCAATCTGCACAAATCTCTTAACAGAAGCTACAGAAACAATGGGCCTTATAAAAGCCACTGGGAAGAGAAAGAAACCCGAAGACAGGCTTTTAATTTCTGAGAGGCAACAAGTAACACATGCAGCATTTCCCCCTGATAGTTTGAAAGAAAAAGTAAAGAAAAACAGCTTGTTTCAATCTTGTACTGGTAAAGCCACCAAAAATGAATTGTAAAGGTATTATTCTTGATTCCAATGTAGAAAGGATATCATCCTTCAGATTCACCTATGCTTCTACTTCTTTATGATGTTTCTGGAGCACAGAGGAATAGAGGCAGAAACAAAATAATGAACTACCTTATAGTGAATTTGAATGGTAAATATGCTTGGAAAAAAAACCACTCAAGCAAAGAAAAAGATTTACTTTAGAGAAGGCACAACAGTTTATTTACCATTTCATATGAAGTTCAATGAAGATAAAGATTAGGTCAAATTTACTCAGTTACATGTTGAGAGAGGTGAGAAAACAGCATATCAAGTAATATATGATGATATTGGAATTTTTGGTAAGTGGTAATACTTTAATCAACTTATGAGATATCTTCTGATAAAATAAGTTTATATGCTACTACATTTGAAAAAGAGCCATCTATATGGTAATCTACTTTTCAAACTTCTTATGTTAACAAAATTCCTCTTCAAGTAATAAAATTGTGCTGGACACATTTCTAGTTTGACAGGAATTGTCAGAAATAGGTTCATATCTACAAGGGATATTCTCCAAAGAAACCTAAATCCAATGGGGTTTGCATGTCAGTAAACAGAAATTTTTATGCTTCATTTATAGGAATGGGTAGGTTGGAATTTAACAGAACCATTTAGGAGTGTTATGTATGTAACTCAGTAGAAGGAAGAGTTGTGCCAAAATTTATTTCACCACTCACTCTCATTGCAAACAAATAAAGTTTGTAAATCAAACAGAATTATTTTCTTAGGCTGAAAGGGAACTTCCTCCCATAGAGGAAGCAAATCAAATTAATCCATACCATTTCACACCTCCCCAGCTAACCAGCCAAATCTACTCCTTCACAGCCACAAAGCACAATTATTTTACTGCTGGGCTTTCTTCTGCAGTGCTTTGTCTTCCTGTCTTCCAGTGACATGAACGTCACGCAATTCTGCGTCCTGATGCCAAGGCAAAGTCCTGTAGCCAGAGCTCTTCCAAGCATGTCTTAGTTCAGAGCTGGGCCAGCCATAGTTTGGTGGCAAAGTGTATTCCCACAAGCATGGCCTGTAAAGCTGATATATTTCATAAAACATTGTCCAGCACTGCAACAGACTGCCCAGCGAGGTGATGGAGCCACGTCCTGGAGGCATTCAAGAAGCGAAGTGGCACATAGTGGCATCTAGTTGACATCGTGGTGTTCAAAGGTCGGACTCGACCATCTCAGAGGTTTTTTCCAACCCTGTGATTCTATGATCCTAATTAACGACTGACAGCATTTCAAACTCTAAAAGCTACAACCAGGGAAGGTCTCACATTCGAGACGCCAGCGGGCTAAGCAGGGAGAGAACTGGTAACAATTAAAGGAAGACCACATTTTCACGGGCGCTTGCAGAGCCGCAAGGCTCCCACGGGGGCCCCCTCAGGTGCGGCTCTCCCCTGAGGAGCGCCCGCCGCCCCCGGGAGCGCCGCCAGGCGGCGCCGCCGCCGCGCCCCCCGCGCGCGCTGATTGGCTGGCGGCGCCGGCGCTCTGCGGCGCTGTGGCGGCCCGGCTGCCGGGAGCGGGGGGGCCGAGCCGCCCCCGCCGGGGGACCCCGCGCATCCCCGCCCGACCCGCCGCTGCCTCGGGCGCGCCGGGACCGGGCGGCGGGAGGAGGAGCGGGGAAAGCACGGGGGCCTCCTCGTCCGCTTCCTTCTCGTCCGCGTGCCGCGGCGGCAGGCGCAGCATCCTGGAGAGCGGGAGGCCGGGAACAAAGGCTCCGCGCCAGCACCGGCGGCTCCACCTGCCCTGCCCAGCGGAGATGGCGTCCCTCGGCTTAGGGGGGCTCAACGTCTCCGCCCGGAGGAAGAGCGTCCCGTCCCGCAACGCCGCGGTGGAGAGGCGGAACTTGATCACGGTGTGCAGGTGAGCCGCGGGCCGGGGCCCTGCCCCGCCCGAGGGGACCGTGCCCCTCGCTCCCGCCGCAGCCCGCGGGGCCCGTCCCGCCCCCGCTCCGCACAGCGGGGTCGGGGGCAGGAGCGCGGGGGCGGCCCCGCCGCAGCCCTGTCCGGGCAGGGAGGCCGGTGCCGGTAGAGCAGCCTCCTCCATCCATCCTGACTCAGCTCCTGGGAGCGTGTCCGGGCGGCGGGGAGGGCAGGGGCTCACGGGGCAGTGCCTCTGCTGCGGGGCGGGAATGGCCCCATCTGAAGCGGGGGACTGACGGGTTTGTTGCCGGCACCATGCTTGCGTGCTCGGGCCAAAGGCGGTGCGGAGCAAGGCAGGGGAGGGTGAGCGCTCGTCTGCGCTGGACTCGTGCGGGCACGGCTGCTGTAGCTGCCCTACGATTGACGGTCCGGCCGCGGGTCCGGCTCCGAGTCAGTGCGGTGAGGATCACAGTTAATGGGATGGATCCAGGGGAAGAGGTTCGGGCCGCTGACCGAGCGCTCCTGCGAGCGCGCCGGTGCCGCAGGACCATCCCGAAGAGGCTGCGCTCCGGGATATTTTTATCTACGAAATCTAGATCAGGAAATCTGCAGTACTAGAGCTACTGTATTCAAATTAATTTCTTTTTTCTTTCTTTCTTTCTTTTTTTTTTTTTTAAGCATCTTAGTGCTGAGCTTATGCAAGCTCAATAGCAGTTCTATGACGCTCTATTTAAGCGTTTCCACTGCTGTCACTGTGGAATTTGCAGCATTTCCAGGTGTGCAGCAGTGACCTGTAACGTCATGGCAAACTTTTAAATACGTGGATGTGCTGGTAGCAATGGCTCCGTTCGGTCGTTTGTTTCAATTGCTCAATTTTGACGTTATTAAAGTAATTTGAATATTATCTGGGAAAGGTTTTCAACAGATTCAAGAGCGTTATGACACAATTTTAGTTCTCACAAATCTTTCTGAAGTGACAGGACAACTATTGGATAATTTTGTACCATCATCACTTAATGCTGCAGCAGGGTTTTTAAAAACCCATACAACCTCATATTTTCCACTCTTTTTTTGTTTTTTTTCTCTTGTGCTATACTGTTAGCAGGTTTTACAAAGGTTGACTGTATCATCCATCTCATGAATTTGCTTCAGTATTCCTTCCAGTCATAGTATCTGTGTTTGAGTAGCATCAGCACTATTCTGTCTTTTCCTGGGCTTGTATGCTTATCTCTACTCCTACCTGTGAAAAAGATACGCAACAAAAAAAAATTGAACAAAGTTTTATCACACCTGCTGAAGCAGCTTAAATAATAGAAATAGAAGTTTTCAGTTTCAGCTGTTGTTACAGAGATGCAGATACTGCCAGTCTGTGTGCTCAGGAAAACACCGGTTTTATCAAGTAATTACACAATTGTACAGGATATAAACAGTTCTTTTTAAAGAAATATATTGTGTTCTACAGAACTTGGGGGTTTTTTTGCCTCCCAGTTGAGAAGAACTCTTCTGTACTCTTGCTGTTACATTGTTTATTTGATGTCCCTGTCCTGAAGTTGAAGTGATGGTGTAATATATTTAAAAATGCCTAGAAATCTGAGAGAATTCACTTAAACACATATTAAAAAAAAAGAGCTACTGCAGAAACTGCTTGAGATTGGTGTATTTTTATTATTTTCAGTAAAGCGACTTAATTTTGCTGTTCTTCACAAAACCTGAAGTTCTCAGTTTGTGAATACACATAAGAATTTGGAAAAAATGTTGAGGAGGAAGGATTTGCATTATTATGATGTATGTGCATTTATTTATATTTTTATTTTGCCAGTGTAAGAGTGTTTAAAATATCTCTGTGCTTTACTGTAGTTATTACACATTTTCTATTCTAGAAAAGTGTTACCTGTTAGGAATGGCCAAGTTAGTATTGAAAAGTGTAAAATAATAGTCCTTTCCAATCAGAATTCTATGAAAATAAGACATTGTTCTGGTAAAAAATAGCTCCAGTCAAGTGAGTCAATCAAATTTAGATGGTATGGACTGTTCCCCAGTGAAGGGGAAAGATCACAAGGAAGATACTCCTCTGAGTTGCCATCCGTTAACAGTCTCTGATAATTTAATGAATTATTTTTTTCAAAGCTTCAATTTAGCATATTTTTACTTAATAGTTATACCAGACTTTAAGGTTTTCATATTTTCTTACAGTGATGATATCTAACTCCTCCTGCAGATGTGGATAGTTTCTTATATTTGCAGTTTTGGAAGGAACAGTTTATTGCCACTGAAATGCTGAGTGTCACTGTAGCCATGGAAAGTGACATAGATACTTAAGCTCCATAAACCAATTGCTTGTGAAAATGAATGGCTGTGGTTTTGTAACTGCACAGCCCTGATTTAAATTGGAATACTTCTCAGGACTTTTTGTGAGTACATAATGCATGTTCTAAGCTTTTTCTCTCCCCTTACCTGTTTTCCCTTAAGTTTGATCCCTTTCATGTTCCAGTAAGTGGCACTGAGATTTTTTACTAGTTATAGATTGTTCAACTTGGTTTAATCTAGTCTTCAATAGGATCCATATAGATACAGAACAACTGAGACAGACCTCAGAAGTGACATTCATGGCTTAAATACAGAGAATTGAACAACTATTAGGAAATATGCTTTTAAAAAAGTGATTTTGCTAATACACATAAGACCTGATGCAGTGACATGGACCCTTAGCTGAACTGTCTGGTTTCATGATTGCCATGTTCAGCCTAAGGCATATTGTTTCATAATCTTAGGGATTATTCTATAGTAATAGTTTGAATTCTTTAAAATAGTATTTTAATGACACTTCCCAAATTGCTGGCTAAATAATCATGACAAAATCTGCTGTTTTGGAAATAAGCCTATAAATGTGGGATGTATCCACAAAATGTTTGGCTTTGGTTTGGAGTTATTCAAGAAACTTGGGAGACTTCTTGCACATCTTGCAAGGATGTCGTGGAACAACATCTTGCAAAGTTGTAGTGGAACAACGTACCCTAAAAAGATTGGTTTAAGTCTTTTTTATTCAGGAATGTCTCCATCTTACATAATTCATAAGGTCTTTTTAAGGTTGGGAGAATGCTGCTGTTCCTACATCTTCTTTTTGGCTCAAACAAGTGTAGAGAAAATGTGACAGAGAAAATGTGTAATAATCCAAAAACATCAGAGCTCATAAAGGTAATTTAGAAACATTGATATTGAAATCTCTAATTGCAGTTACTGCATTAAAAAACAAGTAATAAAAGTTGGGGAGTAAAAGTTGCAGTAACACAATGAGAAATGTTGGATAAAATACTTTATTTTAAAAAAGTCTTGAAGCAACAGGTGTTATAGCAAGAGAAGCTACATTACTCATCTGCTCTTGCAGTCCCCTCAGGAGTTAATCTCTGATGTGTAAGCAGTCTGGTGCTCTGGAGTGCAGTGCTGCTGTGGCAGCCCAGTGGAGAAAAGATAGAGTGAGGTGGTGCTTGGGCTTTTTCCCAGATAGCAAGTGACAGGACAAAAGGAAAAAGCCTCAAGTTGCACAAGGGAGGTTTAGATTGGGTATTCAGAGAAATTTCTTCACAGAAGGGGCGGTCAGCCATTGGAACAGAATGCCCAGATAAGTGGTAGCATCACCATTCCCAGAAGCGTTCCAAAAAAGTGTGGATGTGGCCCTTGGGGACATGGTTTAGCAGTGCTGTTAACGGTTGGACTCCATGGTCATAAAGGTCTTTTCCAGCCTTAGAGGTTCTGTGAAGATGGGAGCAATACAGGGAACCAAGGAAACAGCTCGAGCTGTTTGGACCTTTTTTCTTCATAGCCCTTGTGTACTTTAAACCTGGCCTTCTGTTTCTTGGCTTTCAGTCTCCACGTGGCTCCGCATAACTGCAAGAGCGTGGAATTTCTGGTCTGGGGCCCCACACACTGGAAACACCTTCAATGACTGAGGAGAATTGCTTACTTAGTGCTTACAGTGTAACCTTTTTTCAAAGGCATAACTTCTATATACCCTTAATCCTTTTTCCAATATACATGGTAAACATGGTGTAGTGTGAATATCTAATATGCAAAATGTGCTCATGACTTTTAATTTGCACTTAAATACATTTGCCTCTTTGTAGTATTTAGAGAAAAAAAGATAGCAAATCAGTATTTGCCTAAAGGGTTATTTTTAAATCTCAAAAAAATGCTTCTAGTGAATCAAATTTTGCTTGGTAGTGCTGTTATCTTCCTGGTTTGTAGAAGTAAGTACGTACTTGCACTCCCTTTAAGTTCTCCTAAAAGCCAGTCTAACCCAAGTTGACTATAAAAGTTTAGGGTTTTGGTGAAAGGGTAGAGTAGACAGATTAAAATTAACATTTCTGATGTTATGGAAGTAATATGAGCACTTAAGCACCATTTTGATGATGAGCTCTTAGACTGCCTTTTATTATCAGACCCTAGGTATATAAAATTTTTTTTTCTAGTATTTTTTCTTTAAATACTAGATATTTTTTTTCTTCAGTCGAGTAGCAGAATGCTTTAAAATAAAAAAAAAAATAAAGCTTATCTATGATTTTTAAAGTGTTTGTGAAATTGCTCTTAAGTGTTTCTTCTTGAATATATCTCCATTTCTGAATAGGTACTCTATACAATATTAATTAGTGAACTTTCAAGTATGACATTGAATACAGGAGAAGTAGACATATCTTTATATTGTACTCTACTTGATTTTGCAGGTTATGGATGATCCTGTCTCTGAGTTTTATGGTGATATTTCTGCATACAGGGCAGTACATCACTGCTAACTCACTGTCTATCTTGTGTATGGATCTATGAGTGCTGTGCTGCACTGGATCTTTTTCAGACCTGCATGGTGTGGGAGGACTTATCTTGTTACAGTTAATATTAGCTTAGGCATTTGTTTTTCAAAATGAAGGGGTTTTTTTTAATCAAAAATTTCTCAGCTCTGATATGGCTTTGAGGAAGCAATAAGTTCTGCCATTAGAAGAGTCAATAGCATTGACTGGTGGGCATGCATGTCTCTCACTTACTCAAAATTGGTTAAAAATATGGAGGAGTTCAAAACTGAGTCATAATTTGGCACTGCAGGAGAAGCTTCCTCCTCCACCCTAATTCACTCCTAATTCCTGTTCTGCAAAAAACTCTACAACAATAGAAGCCTGCAGGAAAGGTAAAATAGGGAGTTGTTATTCAGAAGTTTACTGAGTAAAACATAATTGAGTGGAAACTCTTGAGCTGTGTGCCAGTTCAGTTTGAGCACATTAGTTTTGTGCTGACTCCACTAAGGAGGCAGGTACTGCTGTAGTGCAGAGCATTTCAAACTACTACAGGTGTCAGGAGCTTCATTCCTGCCCTTGCTTGTAATGCTGTGCTGCTTCTGCAGCTGTGCCATAGAAGTGCTTGTGTTGAGATGCTGTGAAGGATCTTTTTTATGAATGTATCTGTATTTAAGAGTCACTTCTCCCCTCCTTTCCAGTACTGAAAATCTAGAACAGTTCATAGTGAGCACCATAAAAAGTAGAAGTGGCAAAGCTGAGGAAGCCAGCGCTCGCTCAGGTGTGGGATCTGGGAGGAGCAGGCAGAGTGAGAACACCCTGAGTTGATACTGTTGACATCTGGGTGTTGTGAAAGCTATCTCCTCAGGCTGAAGTATGCCTCTATTAATACAAACAAGATTGTTGCAAAAAACATAGTAAATGCTTCAGATTTAATACCTTGAAGTTTGAGAAATTTGTCTTGAAAATGAAAACTGGAAGAACAAGCTGAAGAAAGGAAAATAAAAATGGATAATGATAAAAATTATGAAGGCAAAAGAAAAATATTTTTTGTCATATTTGTTGAGGTTTGAACTATCCTCTGAATAAGAATAAAAGTTTGTATAAATGTAACTAAACACAGCAGGCTGGCCAGTTGACTAATTACATCTTGTCTGCATTTTACAGTGACTTGATTCAGCCTTTCCAATTTTAGGTGTTGGATCATTGAAATGGAAAGCTTTTCTAGCATAATAATGAAGTAATACAGTGCTGAATAAGGATTACCCTCATTCACAGGGAAATCAGCCTAAGTGAATGCAGATTTAACAATGCATAAAAATTCATTGTTTTATACTATGTCTAGATTATTTTTGAATTAGGATGAAATTAGTGTTCTCATAATAGGATAAAGTTTGTATTTCTGATTATTGAACATAGATTTTGGGAATAAAAGGAGCACTGACAAAATGTCAAGCAAAAGTATTTGTGTTTAGGATTACATAGAAACTGATATTGGATGTTTTTGGGTGCTTGTTTTTCTCCAACTGCATTAAAATACTTTAGAGAAGAGAAAAATAATTAACTCATTTCTGTGTGGAAAGGGTGGGGATTTTTGTTTTCTTTCTGTTTTTAAGGCTTTATGCCTAAGACCAACAATGCCAATTGCACTTCCATGCTATACCTGAACATTTTGTGTGTTCCTGTTGCCGTGACTGAACTTGATATCCTTGGTTCCTTGCTCTTTTGGTTTACACCAACTACTGCCCTGCTATAGAGAACCACTAATTATTCATATAATATGTGATTATCTCATATTTTTTGCTCTAGGTTTTCAGTCAAAACTCTCATTGACCGTTCCTGTTTTGAAACTATAGACGACACTTCCCCTGAATTTAATAATTTTGCAGCCATTCTGGAACAGATTCTAAGTCATCGACTGAAAGGTATGTTAATTAACTTCCTTATTGATGATGATTTTGCCATGAGAATTTGTTTATACAAAACCCATGTGCATCTGTACAAACTCCTTGATGCTGAATGAAAGCATTGGCTTTCTTTGTGGGTCTGTCCTATTGCTGTTACCTTCCTGATTTTCTGCATTGGTATGGAAAAGTGAAAGCAACTATTTCTGTGAAACATATTTCCAATGATCCTGTTGGAAGCCTTCTGGGCTGGTAATTAAGCAAGTGAATGTTGCCATGGTGCTGAGCTCTGTCTGCTTTTCTGCTTTATGATAAGGCTGTGTCCTAAGAGTCTGAAAGACAATTATATTATCTGCTTCAATAGGAGCTACAGAGTGTATCTGGTGCTGCTCCCATTTCTTCCTCCCTTGCTTTTGTTGCCTTCTTTTCCAGAGACTGTTTTTAGGTCCTTTCATTCTGTTGCCCCACCCTTCAGTGAAGCTGTTTTTTCTGCTGGAATGTCCTGAAAGAGATTGCTTTTTAGAAAGGTCAGTTGTTGATTTTCTTCCTGTATCAAGTTCTAGTTCCAGATAATGTCTGTTTGCATTTTCCAGTTGTTCCAGAGGAAGCTGCTTTGCTCAGAGAACAGTGTGTGCTTTAGTAGTAGCAGTCACTAGAAAAGGACCTTGGATGAGTCTTCTCTTTCCTCAGTTCTGTGTACAGTTTCTGAAATGATTTGAGGATTATGAAGAACATCATAATCATCTAAATATAGATGTGTAATATGACAATCTACTCATTTTCATACTTTTTAATATTCATAACCAAGCTTTGTGAACAATACTGTGTGTAGGCTGACATTTGAATAGCACAATTACTACCTGCTGTGGTTCTGTCAGAGGAGGAAAGAAATGGTGCACAGTATGGTAGAAACATAGGGTTTGTCACATTGTGACAAAGATTTTTGGAGTGATTATGGGTACTTAGCAGCTTGACTCTGCAGGGAAATTGCTCTCTTTTCTCCTTCTCCTGCTCCTCCAGCTTCAGCAGTATTTGTACAAAAGTCATTGTAAATTCTTTTTTTTCACCTACATTCTTTTGCTTCACAGTCTTTTATTCAGAACAGGCAGTACGGAGAAGAAGCCTTGACAAGTTGGCAAATGGAATTTGCAAGTAAAAAATAATTTCAAGTAAGAAATAGAGAAATTCAAATAGCTAAATTTTCTTTCAGTCTTCCCCTTGTAATTGCTAGTATAGTTTTCTATGTTTGCAGAGTTAAAATTACAGAAAAAGGTGGGAACTTGTGGATTGTGTTGCAAATGGAGAATGTTTTGGTAATAAGCTAGTTGACTGCTTGTAATTTTTAACAATTTTAAAATAATAAGGCAGAAATTGAGATAAGAAATGTACTGTGACACTTCACATTTTAAGAGGGTATGTATTTTACAACTCAGAGCTTGAAAGAAATTGTATTTTATTGATGAAATTTACTAATATATTCTGAATGCATACTTAGTGTCAGTAGGAAGAGACTATATGTAAACTAGTGATTGCAGTGAGTTGTATTAAGTGTTTTGAAACTGGCAGAACATACTTGATCTGTTAGTCTATGGTAAGATAAATAGCTTCTTTGTATCAAAGTTGTCAGGATAATCTCATGGCACTATAGTTAAATGGATGATCCAGATTTGAGAGTTTAAGTATATTACTTTAAGGCCATGGCAAACGACAGTTCTTAATATTTAGCTTCCTTTGGAAGTACTGGGTGAGGAAGGAAGAATAAAAAAAAAAACACTTTATGTTATTAAGTATGAAGTTTGCCTTATTAGAAAACTTTTACTGCTAACTCTTCTGACGTTAAATTTAATGTATTTTTAAGGAGCAAAGTGTAGTCTTGATGGAATATAGTGACGGTTTCTGTTTATTGGTTTCATGCTTAATTAGGATCCAGACAAAAAAATCCAAACCCAAAATGGCAGGAAGAAGGATGGTTATTTTAAAGGGAAAAGAGTTCAGCTACAAGGATTAGAATTTTATGCTTTTCCTAAAACCGTTGCATTTAAGAATTCTGTAATAGTAGTTGTCCAAGCCTTATCTTCCTAGTTCTGGAAAAAAATGGTCGTTGTAGAAACACAAGGACCATGTAAAATGGATTTTTGTTAGGTACCTGATCTGATGCTCCCGGTAGCAAAATGGTAATGAAATAGCATTTTTTATTTAACCACCATGAGTGGTTTCATTGTTTGTTTTTTTTTTTTTTTTTTTTATATTCACTCTCATTGAATAATTAAGTTTTGGAAAGTTTTTAGAATGTCATCCAGTCCAACCACTTGCTCAAAGTAGGGCTGTCACAGATTACTCATGACATTGTCCAGTTGTAGTGAAAAAGTCCATAACATTTCTTAAACTCAGTGCAGTTTGCTACAGATTTTTATTTTCCCCCTTACTGCCCAGCTTTGACTTTGCACTTACCTTTCCTGGCTGTGGGGCCTTGTAGTGAGCCAGACCAGGAAGTCAAACAGACAGAAAACTGATGACTTTCCCCATGAATGCACTCTTTAGCCCAGCTGCTCATATTCTTAAGAATATTTTACATATGGATATTTACTTAGTAGTAAAATGAGCAAACCAGCTCACTACAAAAGTTCTGTAAATGCTGCTTGAATATATGTATCTGTTTGGGTGATACAGAAGACTTGGCACATATGGCACCAAAATAGTGCCAAAAAAGGTAGCATAATAAGCTATGGCACTGCCTTACAACTACATGTTCTGGCAATAAGTATCAGTCAGGAATAGGCCACTGTTGACAGTAAAAGCAATCTGAATTGCCCTAAGGATGAGAGTTTGAGCAAGCTGTACTAACGGGTTTTTAAGGGACTGCCTTAAGCCCTGGAAAGGGGAGAGCTGTTTCCCTGTGCTGTGTAACACTACATGTGCAGTGTGCCTGCTACTTCCTACAAGTGCTGGAGGTATTGAGGACATGGAGGCAACCAGAGATTGTAATGAGGAGTTTATAAGGCATGTGTTCTTCTTGTCATTGGAGTAAACTGCAGCATCCCTCCTGGCAAGATGTGATACTACTGGACAGGGCAGCTGAAAGTCTTGAAAAGGGAGGAGAGAAGAAGTAACAGAAAAAAAGATGAGTGACTAATTACTTTTATTTCTTCTTAGGAATAAGCTTTTGCATGGTTTTACAATACAGCAGAGGTTAAGTGTTACTCTTGGGGGGATACAGGGACAATGTATTTGAAGGTCCAAATAAGACCTATAGTCCTAAAAGGGGTTTTACAAATTTGTGTACGTGTGTTTGATAGCCTTTAAAGCAAGGTGAATCCTGTCAGGAGCCATTTTTTTTCTCATACAGTTGTTTGGAATTTTTTCCATTCCTAATCATTCTGTACTGTGGAGATGAAGCAGTATCTTGTAGTGATCTGTGTGGTTTCTGGTTTTCATTTCTGGCCACAGATTTTTCAGGTATATTTCCTGTAAGTGTCTTTTTTATCAGGTAGTGCAGAAGTGGTACGACATCAAAGGTGTTCAACAACAGTACTTGGGATTTGATCTCAGATATATCCAAGCTGATTTAAAACCTGAAGTAATTTCAAAATGATGTGTATTATATCTTTACTATATAACTAGGTTGTATTTTTTTCTGCCTTTTCTTATCACTTTAAGTTAGTATTAAGTGAGTTACTACTGAAAAACATGAATAACTATTGTAGATTTCTATGGCCATAATCTCAAACATATCTCTGAAAGCTAGTCTCCTGGATGTATTTGCTGCCTTACTATGTTTTCACTAATATCCTTTGTGCAGCAAAAATGTTGATATCCAAACTGCCAGACAGCATGTGTGTTTATAAAGAGTGTCAGGTGTCAGTGTGTAAATGTATCTAGTGCATTTTGCTTGTGACTTGTGTAATTTTTGCATGTCATGGTTACTGTGAGCAGACTTGTCATCTGTACACTTACTTGCATTTGCCACCATGAGGACACAGAAAATGTGCTGTACTGTGCTATTTTGACATGTTCACAACTTTGTGTACCTATTTTCCTGTACATTCAGGAGGCACTATAAACATGTCAAAAGCTTCTGCTAGGATTGTCCGTGGAAGCTGCTTTTATCTATCCAATTTATGTAACTCCTAAATTTCAGGAGTTCTTTGAGTCAGTAAAATGCCGCTTGTAATGCTCCTTGTTCTGAGAGAAACAAGTCTCCTGGATTAAATAATTTAGGTAATGGTGATATAATGGCAGTGAAAAAGGTAGGTTAAGGATATAAGAACTAAAGGCACTACTATTTTAAAAAGACAAAATAAACATACTGCTGTGGTAGCCCTTTAATTGGTGCAATAATGTTGTTAGCAGAATAGCTTTTATTATTAGATTTAGTATCTATACACATATACTGAGTTATTCTTTTTCACTAAGAAGAAACAGGAAAGCTCTTGTGTAATTTGTGGTTTAGTTCATTCTTCTTGTATGGAGTAAATATGTAAATGAACTCGTAATTGTCTTGGAGGACTGAGTTTATGAACTGCTCTAAGTATTTAATGACCAATTCTGTAGGCTCAAAATAAAGGTAGGTATCTCAGAAATTCCTCAAAGATCATGCCAGTTTGTTAGCAAGAAGTTGTACTAAAACTTACTTTTTATTGGATAGAAAAAATTGCTGCTAACTAAATAACATAGTGAAATATGGAGAAGCCTGTCTGTACCTTGGAACATCCTAGTCATTGCTTCTTTGCAACTGTGGAACTTTGTAAATTAAATTGGACAGTAATTGGATAGAGATCAGACTGTTTAATCTTATTTGTGAAAAATTTACTGAGCATGAAAAGGATCTGCGATAACTGTGGATGTTTGTGTCTAGTTGTCGAAACAGAAATGGGTTGATACAAGTAGGTATGCAGCAGTTTGCAAAGATGTGGTGAAAGCAAAAAAAAATCATAGTTTGTTTCTATTTTCTTTGCAGTTCTGTAGACAGGAATGGAATTTATTTGAGCAATGTTTAATATTACACATGCAGCTTCCATGTTTACCTAAGGATTTTATTTGGCTGACAAAACCAACATCATTTCTGTTGGAATACCTTGTCAGCTTCTACATCTTCAGGTGACATATGAACTTCACAGCAAAGACCACATGCTCATTGCCCTGTGCACCTGCTGAGAAACTTCCTCTTTCCTTATGATGTACTTTGACAGAATGTAAGTTCTACACTAAAACTAGCTTTCAATTTTACTGCAATGTTTTAAAATTTAGATATGATTTTGAAATAATAAAACAGCCCAAGTTGGAAGGGTCCTTGAAGAATCATCTGGCCCAATCATTTGAGGATGGGAGTCTAGATGAGAATATGTGGCACCCTGTCTAATCATATCTTGAAAACGTCCCGTGATGGAAACTCTATCACCTCACTGGGGATGTTGTTGCAGTGACTTTTGGTTCTTGCTGTAAAAAAATTTCTTTCTTGGGATGCAACCTCTCCTGTGCAACTTGTATGTGCTGCCTTTTGTCTTCTGTGTGGCTCCTTGTGAGGAGGGAGCCTTCACCTTCTTTAAGTACTGGGGAACTGTGATGAGTTCCCCCACTGAGCCTTCTCTTCCCTAGAGAGAAAAAACCTAGTGTCTTCAGTATTTCCTCATGGGACAGGTTTAACAGCCCTTTGAACATTTTGTGACATTTCTTTGGACCCTCTCCAATCTGATCCTGCCCTTGAATTGTGGAGACCAGAACTGGACACAGTACTGCAGGCGAAGCCTGACAGGTGCAGAGTAGTGGGAGCTGTTTCATTTCTCATTCTTGAGACCTCTCGTGGCTGAGTGCATTGAGTGCATTAAGGGCCAAATACATTTCACATGCTGAAAGATTTTAAAAATTTAGTAAATCTATAGTTTAAAATGTTTTTTGGTATTTCTTAAAATACATTCTCACTATTCTCAGTCAGTCTTTTCCAGCATTTTTCTGTGTATAGATAGATTGAGAAAGTTTTTTTCAGATTATATTAATTATGAGAATGTGGGCAAGATTTAAAGTTGTAGGAACAGAATAGTGAAATATAGGAGACCTTGGTTCACAAAAGGTGCTGAGCTGGCTGTGAGTTTCAAGTGAAGAAAATTCCTGCTGAAGTCTGAAACCCATTGCACCCTCTCACAGAGCTGGAATGAGATGGGAGCCCACTGTAATGTCAGAGTATGTTGAATTATGGCCAGCTGGCTTTCTTGATCAATGTAAGTCAAGTAAGTGCTGGTATGGTTTTCTGTTGTAAAGTTATTTCTTGTTTTAAATGGTCATGTCTTTTTCAGGTGTTCATTTGTAAAAGGAATTGCCATGAATTAGGAGCTTCAAAACACTGGAGTGAAACTGTTTTTTGCTAAATATATTCTGCTCTTAAGATAGTTTGAAAAAAACCCACAAAGTTAATATATCATATGCCTGCCTTTATTAGTTAGAACTGGAACTGATGATATGAAGTCATCTTTACACCATAACTGCATTTAATTTTGTAGATAAAATTTCTAGGGCAGAAATGTTTTTGATTTGATGAAGAATATGAAAAATATCTGTAGCTTTTTCTGCTGTTAAAATGCTGTTGAGTTTTTGTTGCTGTCCACTAAACTTGGCATTTCAACAAAAATTGTAAGTTTGTAAAATTCCACTTACCTTGTGGAATTTCTTTTATTTTAGTCCTCAGAGCTGAGCAGATCTAAAACTACAGTAACTGTGGCACCTTGGAATTCTAATTTTTCTTTGTCATATTGGTTATTATATATGAATTCTTCCTGCTTGTGCCTTTTTCTGTGGTTTTTAAAGTCTTTTATCATGCTTTGAATTTAATAAATGTATCTTTGGTGAAGGAAGCAGATGGACCACCAAGTGACATGCACCCTCTAGGGGAAGAAGAACCTGCCACTTGAATTTCTTCAGCTCGTAGGGGACAGACCTTTGACACTACTTTGGTTATGCTTGAAGCTAAGTCTAGTCATGTCAGATAAAAATGCATATTCTGACTTTTATTTTCAGTATGTATGATTTGCAGTATCGCTCTAATGTATTCTTTCTTGAAATCTCAGCTTTCTACAGAAAAAGAGTAAGAAATCTTTCTCATACATTAGTAAATCTTTGTAAGTGCAATTCAAGACTTGAAATAAGATAAAATCAGCTTGAAAAGAACTCATTTTATATGGAGACAAGGTTTTGCACATAGCAATGCTGGAAGTCATCAGAGGGCAATATTAACCTTACTTGTTCCATACCTGTTTGCAGATATGTCCAAAGTGAGAACAGTGTGATGTTCCCTCTGAAAAATGGGGTTGAGCTGTTGTGCTGCTGATGAAATTTATGTGGAGATGTTGCAAGTGTTATGTAGTTTTGCCTTTCATTTTCTAAGTGCAATACATTGCAAACTGGAAAAAATGTGAGGGATTTTTGTTGTAGTTCCAGAAGGGGTAATGATCTGCTCAATTATTTTCTCTCAGCTTGAGGGAATGTTCTGTGTATGCTCAAAAGAAATTGTGATTGCAAAACTTTTTTGCTTATGCATCAGCTTCTCTTCCAATGAAAGTACCTTTTGAAAAAATACAATCTGTTCCTAAAATAAAGATAACACTATCACAGCAAAGTGGTGGATTTTTTTATTTATGTAATTTTAAGAACAAAAATCTCTCTACTTGACTCTATTAGTGCTATGTATATGCTGCCTGTAGAAAAAGCATAAATAAATAAATACTTCTTGCCTCATACTTTTAAGTCACAAGTTTGTGCTCTGTTGTGATTGAAGGGTTCTGTGAAGGACTCTTGAGTATTATTTTAGCATAATAACAAGAAAAAGCCCAAGAAAATACATGTATATACACAAAGCCCACAATAAACTTCTCTTTGTGCATCACTTTTAAACCAGGATGAACGGCATAATGCAACTTTTTTTACATCTGTGGGTCAGTTTTCAGTAGGAATTAATTTATACATTGTTTGTATAAAATCTTTTCAGTAAAGGCAGTGTATTGGGGAGTATTTAATTCCATTTATCTCCAATAAGAAGAGAGGGAGGTCCATAAATCTTTCTGTGTCTTGTGTTTTGATTGAAGGTCAGATCTCCTGGTTTGGCTATGAAAGCCCTCGCAGTTTCTGGGACTACATTCGCGTAGCTTGCCGAAAAGTCTCCCACAACTGCATCTGCAGCATTGAGAACATGGAGAATGTTAGCTCTTCTAGAGCTAAGGTAGGCAAGAGAAAGGCTAAAGTGACTCTTATTACATCTGTAATTTTTGTGACATTTCTGTACCTGTAAAAATACCATAGTACTTAGCTTGCTCCACATATTTTTTCATTGTTCGAATTTTTTTTAATGTGCCTAGTAAATATTTACTTTTTAAAAGCCCCACTTTTAAATCAAAATGTGTTCCCTTTAAGATTTCTTACTCAGTATGAAAAATTCTCTCAATTCAGTGATTGTGTTCTGTTATAAAAGGATTGTCCTCAGATTTTTTACTTTACATACTTTTCTGAAAACACAGTTTTTTAAGGGAAATTAAGTTCTTCTGGACATGCCTAAGAAATATTAAAATTGTAGAAATTGGGTGATTTTTTTCTTTTCCCTTCTAGTAATTTTACTTCATGTAGAATTTATGCACTGATAAAATAGGTGTGGTCAGCTCTTAAGATTTATTTTGTAGGTTTTTCTGAATTCTGAGATTTTGATAGATATGAATATTTAAATTCAGTAGATAATAAGATGCAAGGCTATTTTCTGAAATATTCTTATAAATAAATAAAAGCTTTCTATTACTCTGTGGAATACTTCATGCCAAACAGCAGACAGAGAACCTAATTTGAGCAGTGAGTGTGGAGAATGGTGTTAAGTTTTTAGGGGAGTATTTTGTATGTCTGGATATGAAAAGATGGTGAGCATGTTGACACAAATACCTATCACATGCATCAGTTTGACTGGTGTCCAAATAAGTGTCCTCCTCAGCCTGGATACTGTCAGCAAGGGTTTTCCTGTGCTAGTTGGCTCTGCTTTCACTGGAGGTGCATAGGCTTTAGTTCTTAGCTAAGCAGCATCATCAGTTTCATGGTTTCAGTCATGTTCTAAATAAATGCAACATAAAGGCAACTATCCAGGTAAATATCCTTCTAATTTCAGTGAGATTTAATTTAGTTTCTATGTTAAATTTTTTGCTGTGCTGATGGTATTTATGAAAGCAATTTTATTTATAATTTCATAGAATCTTGGAATGGTTTGGGTTTGAGATCTTGAAGACTAGCTAGTTCCAATCCCCCTGCTGTGGGCAGAGACATCTTCCTACTCTATTTTAGCTTGAAGCTACTCCCCCTTGTCCTGTCACTACGTGCTCTTGTAAAAAGTCTCTCTCCATCTTTCTTGTAGGCTCCCTAGAAGGCCACAGTTAGGTCACCCTGAAGTGGGATTATAATCTACTGCTGGTTCTGGTAGAATGTCTTATATTCAGCTAGATGTCAGTAAGCACCAAATATATTAAGCATAAAGACATCTTACTACTTTGCATAAGTGTTTCTAAGTTTATATGGTTTACAAGAAGAATTCCTGGTGTTCCCAGAAACACAGTCATAGCTGTGGCAGCCATTGAAATGTCTCCCCCTTGTAAGGCACAATCCCGTGCACCAGACCTACAAACACAGCACAACATGCTTTCCTAAGGGTTATTTTTTGTAGGTATTGCTGTTGTTTATGGAACTGTTCCAATGAAGTTTTGCTTTTGAACTCTGAAGGATTTAGGCCTCTTGGATTTGAATTTCATGTCTGTATTTTATGTACATGTTGTTAGTGAGGGGAAAAAATATTGTACAACACATTTTTTTATGTAAATCTCTCAAATATTTGAATGAACACAAAGAATCACTTTGAGGACAAGTTGCTGCCACTTTACTGTGGAAACAGCTGGATGCTTCCAATGCCATTTGTTTTAAAATGTAAAGCTTTTTGCCCTGATCTGCTGCCTCTCACATACATGAGCTTTTCAAAAGGCTGGAGCACATAATTAAAGAAAAAAACCCTCCACCCTCTCCTGAAAATTTTGGATGACTTAATTTCACAATAAACTTTGTGTCCTTGTAAGAATGCATTTTTTGTTTTCGTTATTGCTGTAATGAAGTACATCCTAGCAACTATTTCTGTTTAATGTTATTTTTGTTAATCAGTCATTTATTCAGGTAAACCAATGGTATTAGTTTTCAGAGTGTAAAACTGTTTCTTTCTGTAATGCTTAAATATTTGATACCTGTTTTGTCTTGCAGGGTCGAGCATGGATAAGAGTAGCACTTATGGAAAAACATTTGTCTGAATACATTTCCACAGCTCTGAGAGACTTCAAAACAACCAGGTATACAAGAATTCTATTTTTGCAATATTTTAGTAAATAAGGATGTCATTAATGAAAGACCTATAACCTAGTGAAAGGTATCTAGAGCTGGTATGGATTTGGTTTTAGCATGGGTAAAACTGGAAAATTGAAAATCTTCTCGTGATTTAAAAAATGTGGAAATAAGCCTGGAATTCTTGAAAAGTCAGAAGCAAAGATAACCTCTCTGAAGTAGGAACTAAAGCTGAAATTGTGGTGTAGTAAGGATAGATGTAGTGTTCCTTTCAAAATTAATAGAAAGACTAAGGACTCAGTGAAAAATAATTTTTATAGAACATCTTTTGAAGAAAAAAGGAAGACAATTCCAGGAACCTCTTGAGAACTGTAGAGCAGCAGAATTAGTGATCAGGCATAGCTAGGATTCTTGATATAATAAAAAAATGTGTAACAGTTTTTTTTTTTAGCTTCTAATGATAAAATCAGGGATGAGAATGTTCTTTGTGATAGGGAATACTCTGGCAGTTTTTAATTGGTTTTAGATAGTGTGATTATTAGGTGCTATTTTATCTCATAACAAGTATGTCTTAGAGATTTTTGATGAAGTCATCTGAGTACAAGTGGATCTGTAACATGTACTTTGTGTTGAACTCTAAAAGTTTAGACATAATGAATGGGCTATTAAAACAAGAGTTTTCTCTAAAAGGACTTCTGTTCATTTAGCATATTGTTTAATACTGTTTGTCCAGAGATCTCCCTATAGTTTGCCAGTATTAAGCTGACTTTGAAACACAACTGGGTAAGCATCCCATTTCATTTCAGTTTCTAAACCTGTTGTCTTATTTTACCCAGATTTGCTTGTATTTACAGTAGACAAGAAGCACGTAAAACAAAGAAAATCTGGAAAAGATTTACTAATATTGCTTCAAACTGAAAAGTCACATGGGTTTCTGAGGAGGAGATGAGGAAGAGTAGGGTCACAGATTATGTAGTTCGGTTGTACATTCTTGGTCCCTGTTTCAATAGTGTAGTTTGTTAGTGGATAGCAATGGTCTTATTTGATTAGCAGTTTCAAATTCATTTATTTAAAAATGTTAATGTTCAATATATTTGAATGTTCTTTCAGTGGTATATCTTTTTGAAACAACTTCTCTTGCATTCCAAACATAGTAATTGCAAAGTTTCTTTTGAAGTAATATTTTAAAATACATCTAATGGAAATAAAAATTACATTTTCAGGTTTTGCTTGTATGGATTTCGAAGCCTCTAGCAGCAATGGACAAATTTTCTTTTCCCATGTGGGATTTCAGATACCTAATAACTGACCTGGATTTTGGGTGATGCTTTGCATCATTTGTTTAGCATTTTAAAACATATATTTTACTATATGCATATTTAATAATTATTAGTATAAACTAAATTTCTTGTGTTACATGTATATGGCATACAAGATTATCTATCATGCTGATAGCTCTTTTTAAACCTCACTGTTGTGTTTAGCTGCCTGGAGTTAGTACTTGAATGAAGCAGCACATTCTTAGTGCTGTATGTGCATATTACACTTGGAAGAGGGGTTGGATTAAGCATGGGCACAAAATTATTTTTTTAACTTATTGGTCAGCCTCTTAAATTATAGCAGGCTGTTGTGTTGTGAGATGTCAAGTGTATATCACTGAATGAAGGTTTGTGGGTTTTCCAAGGGGACTGTTGGTTTGGCTGGATTGCTGCAGCTGTCTTTAACCCTGGCACTGCCAGGCTAACTTCTGGCACTCACCACTGAAGGTGTGCCTTGTCCTTTTTGTGTGATTTCTCCCAAGGCATTATTTTACAAGAGCTCAGTGCAGATTGGTACCTGGCAGTGATTTTACAAACACCAGTGGAATGGCTGGCAGTCTGCATGTGCTGGGGCACTGCTGTTTGTTCACAAATAAGAGTCACTGTGCTGAGTCAAACTGGAGTCCCTCTAGCTCAGTGCTCTGGCTCAGCCAGCCTAGCCTCCTAGTGCCCTTCCTGAAGTGAGAGCCTGCAGAGCTGAGTTTGTACTTCCTAGCCTCATTACTGGGACTATAATCTCTGTTTTGTGAGAGGAAGTCTTACAGATTTATTCCTTCTACTGAGAACATCTGAGATCTTGGACAACTCATCTCTGTGTAATGAATGGGTGTTTGTTTAAAAGCTGCAAAAGTGGGATTTCTCACAGCATGCATTATAACACAGTTCAATTTCTGGAGCTGTGCCTCAAAACATGTGTTTTCTGGATGTTCACCATGCAGCCAACTGGAGCTCTCTCTGAACTACCCAGAAGCTTTCATGCAATTCTTAAAACAGATGGAGTTTTGGTAGGGCAGTGTTGCTGGTATTTGTCTGGTTGTAGTCAGTAATCTGGCACCTTCCTGCACTCATCCTTGCTAGAAGATAAAGGTGAACTGTGCATCTCAGTTCTTACTAAGTGACATTTCAGCCTTGGCTCTGGTACTGAGCACCTCTTGGTTTTCCTCTTACCACATGCAATTCTCAGGGGAATTCTGATGGTTTTCCAGCATGCATCTTCCCAGCATGCAGTATTTTAAGAAAAGGTAAACTAACTGAAAAATAGCTGATTGGTGAAAATACTTTTTTAAAAAAGACCAGCTACTAAGAATTAAAATTGAATGTTGAACTTTAAAGGAACCTACAAGTACAGTTGTGAGAGAGAATTTATTTTCATGTGATGGAATAATTTCTTTATGTACATGAAAGAAATTCTTCCTTTCAGAGGTAAAGTATAACATACCTTCATAATTTTTTTTGCATTTTATTCATCTTGTTCTACTAGTTCATAGGACTAATATTGAAAATTCTTTTTGCTTATGTCTAAATTCTTCTGTGTTTTAAGATTGTGTTGTTTTGTGCTATGTAGTCTATTAGCTTGCTTTCTTTGAAATGGAATATGAATGCCTCTGGGGTTCATGAATTGTTTTAATTTAAACTGGATTTCTTCAGTTTTCTGCTAAATATGAAAAATAGCTGAATTAATTTCTTTTTTGTTGAAGGAGGTTTTATGAAGATGGAGCAATTGTTCTTGGTGAAGAAGCAAATATGCTTGCTGGTATGCTGTTGGGACTCAATGCAATTGATTTCAGGTACTGTATTTGTGTGCTTCACAAAAAAATGCTCAGGGAAAGTACTTACAAATCAATGTATTGTGGAAAACATTCTTAAATTCCTGTGGTAGGTTGAGAGGCAAAACTTAGGTTGAGGCAAAGATGAGGGCAAGGGAGAGATCTTGAATGGTTCTCCTAGATAAGAACCAAGTTGTGCCTTTAGGTAACTGCATGATTATGGGGTAGTTTTTTCAGGTATCAAAATCTTAAAAGGAAAGAAGTATAATTGCAGAAGATATTTCAAACCTATTAAATGAAGCTTATAGACATGACACCTTTTATTTTTAAACTGTAAGGAAAACTGTGTGATTAAGTACTTGGTTGTGTCCTGGTACTCGAGGATAGCACTGTAACTGCAAATGTAGAAGGTAATCTTTAACTTTATCACTTCTCAATTTGAAAAATATAACTTACAAATGACCATTTAATATCAATTGGTGTTAAAATTACCTGCAGCTGAACTACTTACATTAATTGACCTTTGCAATTTCTAGCCAGGCTTTTGTGGGTTTTCCTATATAATTAATTCTGTGATTTTGAGGTAACAAAGGTGCAAGCACACCCTAGATAATAAAAAAACCAACACAGCATGTCTATATATGTACATATATTAAAAAAAAACCATCAGCAAGATATAAAGATTGCAGTGCCTGTAAAAAGATAGAACCTGACTGGTGCAAGTCCTTGTTCATATGCCTGATTGGGCCAATTTAGCCTCAAGCAGAGCCACTGGCAGAGTTTCATAACCCAGCACAAGGAAAAGGAGACTGATAATACTGTTCTTCATTCTTCTGTCAGTTCACTGTTAGTATTTACCTTGTCACAAACCAATATAGGAGGCAAACTGCCAGAAAACAGAATGGATGCATTGAGTGACTGACCATTGCTAAAAGGCCCTTCAGAGATTTACTGCTGTTTATGTACCTTTGTGCCAGGCTTGTTGGACCCTTCTTTGAGCCAGCTAAATGTTGAAGAATGAAAAAACATCCCCAGTAAGAGGACTGGGTAGTTCTTTTTTTTGTTAGCTATTTTGGTTCACAGAAGCCTCCTATTAGTGGCAGAGATTATGGGAGAATAATGCTTAGAGAAGAAAAGGAACAAATAAGAAATGGGCAGTGTTTTCCCTTTCTGGTGGTAAAGAGCATTTAGTTCCGCTGGCTATGGAGCTGCACCTGGGTGGAGAAAGGGGAAAAAAAGGAAACAACCTAAAAATGCAGGTCTTGATGGCTGCTGAACCATCATGGAGTCAGGTAAGTGCCAGTGTAAGGTGGGGAATGTCGTGTTTGCATTTAAGAAAAAAATGGAAAAAATAGGGAGGGAGAGGTTGAAAACACAGGATAGCTTCTTTTTCCAGCATTGTGTCATTAGATTGGCTTAACTACATCCTTAACATATGTTCTGAAAGAACAGAAGTGTGCTGCAGGATGATAAGAGTGCTAGTCTTGTGTACAGCAAAATTCAAATCTTACCAGATTTTATTCGTTTAAGCTTTACATAATCTGAAATTAAACTGCTTCTGTATTAGCCCTGTACTTGGAAGGACTGCAGCTATACATGAATAAGCATTGCAAGATTAGGTCTGCATTATGTAAATCCTCTCATAAATAATCATCAATTGACTGTGTTTGTCCCTCAAAAGCCTAGGTGGTACATACTAGGGTATGAGGGCTTAGTTGTATGACTACTTGTTCTTTCTTTGTCCTCTGATTTCTAATGTAAAGGAACCTGTTAATGGTATTCAGACTGCTGATTGGCTCTTGAAGGCATTTACATTTTGTCAATGCAGCTTTTAAGAGTCTGAGAATTTTCTGTGCAAAATGGGAGCTTAGTACTACAGGAGTGTTTTTATTGTGCCACATATCCCAGAATGGTTCAGGCTGGGAGGGACCACAGTGTGATCCAACCTCTCTGCTCAGGCAGGGTTATCCTAGAGCACATGGCACAGGATTGTGTCCAGATTGTTCTTGAATATCCCCAGTGAGGGACTCTACAACCTCTCTGGACAATCTGTTCCAGTGTGGGTCAGCTGCACAGTAAAAAAGTTCTTCCTCATATTCAGGTGTAATTTTCTGTGCATCAGTTTCTGCCCCTTGACTCTTGTCCTATTGCTTAGAACCACTGAGCAGAGCTTTCATAGGATTGTGATTTGAATGGCTGAGAAGCTGTATCCATTCTTTGCATGGTATATAGGAGATTTTTTTTCAGTTCAGTATCTCTTATAAATGTTGACTAGCTTATCTATGTGGAACTGTAAATATGAATTTGCGCTGGAGATGAGCGAGCTTGCCTGAGAACATAATCTGATTTTTTTTTTCTCCCCTTGCAGCAACATGAAATTAGGTAATTGTGCTCTTGGAGGACTGCTTTTTCACTTTCTTGTTTTTCTTTTTATTTTGGGGGAAAAAACAACAACCCTTAGATGTACTTCCTAAACAGCACTTAAATTACTACATTGTCAAAAATGGCACTTTGCAATTCAGTTAGCAATAGCTGTGACTAACTAGAATCTGTTTATCAATAACGGAGATAGGAGCAATGAGGAATATGAGCCTTGTGGAAGCAGTTTTGTCACTTCTGTGATAATTAAACATAGTTGAAATGCAATAATTTATTTCCAGTAAAAAAAATACAGTGTAAACGAAAGCTTTATAAAGCTACAGCCATTTAAGAACATTTTCCAAAAGTTAGGTTCACTTATATTCTTCAGCTTCATGCACCTCAGCACCTGTAAGTGTCTGAAGGGAGAAAGACCCTGAAATGTTTTTGAGAAAATTACTTTTTACTTAGTAGAATGGTTATATAACCACTCTGCAAAACCTTTAAATTATGTTAAATGTGGAAAATTCCAGGCTTGTCCATAATTCTTCTGTTTCTGCTGCTTCAATTAGTTTTCTGGTTATTCTCTTGCCATCTCCCTGTATTATTGAGAATAAAAGTGAATGTTTCAAAATTAGGGTTTATAGCACCAAAAAATTACAAAAAATGAAGTTTCAGGTTGGTAATATTCAACTGTCACTGTAATTTAATTTTCTTGTAATAAACTTATTGTTGTTGCTCTGTTTTATCAGTTTTTGTCTGAAGGGTGAGGGATTGGATGGAAGCTATCCAGCTGTCATAGATTATACGCCATACTTGAAGTTCACCCAAAGGTACTTCTTAGCTTTACTCTGCTTTTTAAAATTTTATTTCATTGGCAAGGTTTTACTTTTTATTAGGCCTCTTATTTTTCATTTCATATGCAAAATGACATTTATTTCTCAGTACAAACCTGTACACTCTGCTACCTCACTCTTTCAGACTGTTGGGATTGTTACATGATTCATGAAATGTGAGTCATGCTAATTGTGTTTCCTTGATTCAGAATAACAGTTCAGTGGAAAATGAGTGCTGCATCTCCTTTGATGATCACCAGACCAAGCTGTCTTTTTTCTTAGGCCTTTTCTGTGTAGCCATAAAACGAAATAGATGTTTTGTAAATAAAAATAATATATACCCTGATAAATATAAAATATGACATAGACAATATAAGCCATTAGCACATCACAGAAAGTCGTGACCAGGCTATGTAAACTGATTTTTTTAGCTGCATTTTGCTCCTCTGATCAGCCTTATGATTAATAATAAAAAGAATTCTTACTATCTAATAAATCAAGTAGCAATTTGACATCACCAAAAAGCATGGAAATTAATGTTTTCTGTTATTAGGTTTACCAAAAGGAGAGAAGCAGTTAGGAATGGTCTTGAAGATGTACAACTGAACAGGAAACATCCTAGTTACTCTCTTGAAGTTCTTACTAGCTTACATGTTAGTGACAAATTGTGATTCAGTTTGTATCATGGGAGTATCACAGGGTTATGGAAATCACTACTTAAAAAAACCTAGCAAAGTCTGTTAGTTAGGGGGAAATATAGTTGTAAGGGAAGATTTTCAAGTGGGTACTGGTATAAATCAGAATCACAGAATTGTTTGTGTTGGAAGGCACCTTTGGAAATCACCTGGTCCAAGCCCCTGCCAAGACAGGGTCACCTGTAGCAGGTGGCACCTGGAGCAGAGAGGGACACTCCACAACTTCCCTGGGCAGCCTACACCAGTGCTCTGCCACCCTCCATGTAAAGAAGTTCTGCTTCATGTTGAGGTGGAACTTCTTGTGTTGTAGTTTATTGCCATTGCTCTTCTTCCTGTCACTGGATCACTGAAAAGAGCTTGGCAGCATCCTCTTGACACCTGCCTTTGAGATATTTATACACATTGGTGACATCCCCTCTGTCTTCTCTAGACTAAAATAAATTCTTGTCTTTGAGACAGATGTCTGCATTCTCTAGCATGCATTGATTATGGAAGATATGAAGATATTTTTACAATGAGTCTACTTACTATGTAGGGAGATACTTCACAGAATGTAACAGGCACAGGACCTTTGCTATAAACATAGATACACGTTCTGATTTAAATTGATCTTGTTTTAATGGCAACCACTTTTTTGGGTTTCTGCTTTTTTTTTTTTAAGAAACAAAATCTATATTGTAATGCATTTACCCTTTGTACTAAGGAAAGTAGCTCACATACAGTTGTCTGACTTGGCAAAGATCACAAGCAAATTTTTGTCCACTTTTTTAGGTGGTTATAGAAACGAATGCTTGAAATACAAGTTGTGTTTAGCAAACCATCATATCCCAATGCTTCTTTTTTTTTTTGTTTGCAGAGCTTTTAAAGAAATACAATATTTCAATTTCAACCAGAATTTGCATTTTTATAAGCACAGCTTTTGACTTGGCTAATAAATATGATTCTTCAGTTCTGACAGTATCAGCAGTGATGAAGAAGAGCTAAGAACGCTGGGCAGCAGTGGCAGTGAAGGCAGTACTCCAGAGAACATTGGTCCTCCTTTCATCACAGATGAAAGCAGTTGGTACAACAAATGCAAAAGGGTAGAACAGAAGTACCGGCTTGCATTGGAACAGAAGGTAAAAGATTCGTTTTGCGTGGGGGCTAGGGAACCAAACTCATCACCAGCCAACTGGTGACATATCCATCTAAGTCAAGGCAGGAAAATATATTATTAGATGCTGTTTAGCTTCATGTAAGTGGTCCTAAATTTTATGATGCTCAGAGTATCCAAGCATCTTTGCTCACTGATTTAAGGGAAAAGAGGCTTGATGAGTTGGGGAAGAGAGTAGCAATAATTCAGAGATCAGATTTCACAATATAATGTCAAAGCTTTGGCTTTATCCAGTCTTGGAGTTACAGACACTGTATCTCTAATACTGTTAGGTTGTGAGCTTAAAGTTCACATGAATTTTCTCTTCCTTAGAAGTCTCAGATTTTTATTGTAGGCAAACTGACAGTTGAAGTCTTTTTGATGATAGTGATGTTAAACTTTAACACTTAGTCTTGAACTAAACAAAAAGGATCAGCAAAGTAATCTATTTAGATGAAAGGTGAAACTATCTTGTCAGTGATACTGGGATGTGTTTTTAGAAAATAGGTAGTTTTACAACTTGATTGAAGCAGAATGGGAAAGGAAAATGTGAAAGGATGTGTTTGTGTTGGATTTTAATCTAGGTGGCATATTGAATGTAACTACAGAAACCAAAGGTGTGTTTTCCATCTACCACCCAACATACCTTAAGTTAAAGGTGAAGTGAAATATATGTCCAAACCTTTTAGTAATTTAGCATTTTCAAAGCAAAGTACTTGTCAGTTTTTCATAACAGCATTATTACATCCACAGTAATCACAATGCATATTAGCTAGTAGGGAGAGAAGAGGGCAGGCTCTTCATACACACCAAAGAAGTAGTACACAAAGAAAGAAAGGAGGAGTCAGGAAAAATTACAGGAAAAAATTAAATACAACTGGTTAAATTTTTTAAAATTACTTCTATTAGTATTTTTATTGTTCTGTTTTCCTAGCATAAGAATTTGATTTTTGTGAAACTCTGAATAGAGTCAACCATATGAAGGGCTGCAACCACACAAGGATGCTGGAAAGTGCAATTATTTCCCTGAATATGGTATAGGTGGAATCAAATTTGATTTATTTTAATGCACTTGAAAGAAGCTGGAGTTTTTCTAAGTAACAGGTGAAAGAGTCAGATTTACTATGGGATGGTGGATATTTAATATTTCTTTTTATTATATTTTTAAAATTATGCATACAATTATTGCTTTTGTGTTTTGGGTCTCTTAGACTTTGTTTTTGAAATATAACCCTGTTGCATCCAGGTTTCTGGTCCAATCTTCTCAGCTGGTATGGTGTCACTTTCCGTATGGAAAGAACTTGTGTTCCTGGGGTCTTTTCTGGTAACAGAGGGCATTTTCCCTGCTTATATAAAAGCAAAACATGCTGTTCAAAAGGAATCTCTTCAAATACATAAATGAAAACCTTTCTCTTGAACCTCTAGAAGAAATTCCCATCCTTGCCAGACAAAACATAGGATCAGTTTGAGTGTACATTTTTCCCCACCATGAGGAGAGTCTTGTCAGTCTGGAGAAACATTAATGAGAACAAAATAGGTGAATGTTTATTTTTCTTGATATATCCAGGTTGTTAATTTCCAAAGATAGTCCATCAAAGTTGTGACATTCATGTGTAGAAACATGTAACCCACATTCACAGTCAGAATCTCTAGGAACCTTTGTCTGCATAAGCACAAAGATTGTCAATGGCTGTAATGGCAAATGGTGATTTTGGTTTATTCATGAGTCCAAGATCTAGAACCATTCCCATTCCATGGAATGTTATTTCTGGTAACATTCTCTTAATGAATTGCTAACTTCTATAGGTAACTAATATAGAGGTGAATTTAATTCAGTTGTAGGATAAATCTTTGGAAATTTTTGTGCATTTAAACAATTTTCAAAATGGTAGCTACTCTGACAGCTGTTGACACTTTCCTAGTTGTCCTCCTTTGGAATGCCTACTTACAATTGCAGCAGCAAAATAACTTACTTTTCCTACAGTCAGAAAATTTTCTGTTCTCTAATTTTCATTTGGGGATGGGCCTGCCTAGTTTTTATATGATTCACTTCATCTGTACTGCATCTGTTCTATTACAGCTTGAACAAATGACCATTAAGATGGACTGTGTAATAGAGCTCCTTTCCCAAGTGTTTCTCTCCCTTCCCTTTTTTCATGCCAATGAGTTGCACCAACGACTGAGTTGCACTCAGTGCAGTAGGTAGCAGTTCATCAGAGACTTTTTATTTGAACAAAAGGGCTTTCTGACATTCTGTGTCTTGGAAAACTGGGTGTTTGTGACAAAAAGACCAAGTTGTAAATAATGTCTTTAGTAGCTGATACAGTAGGTCTGATGGATCCTTCTTTTGCTCTATTGTCATTCATTTTGCCCAAACAGTGATAAATTCCTTTTGTGCCTGTGGTAGGGATGGGGTCAGGTGTTACTTCAGCAAGCTAAATCCTAGCATTGCTTTATTGCTACACTCTGCAGGTTTAGACCAAGACTCCTTGATCATGCTACTGTCCCATCTTGTGTACTTGACCAAAGCAGATGTGGAGGAAAGAATAAACACAAAGTACATGATTATGCCCCACTTTTCTCCTAATGCACTCGTAACCAATGTACGTCAGCTGAGGGGCTGCCTGAAGCTAAAAAGTTTGTCTGTGTAGTAACCTCAGATAAATGTCTCTGCCAAATACTTGTCAAATATCCCCTCGATTCCATGTAAAATTTCACCATCCAAACATTCTTTTTGGCAAAGCATTCTGTGAATCTACCATCTGTTGTGTGAAAAACTACCTCCTATTCTGTCTTTTGAAATCTGGTTCCTAAGAGCTTGATTTCATGGAGCCTAGCTCTTGCTTTTTAAAAGGTTAGGAACTGTCTCTTCCTTTCTGCCCTGCCCAGGCCACTCTGGAAATATGACAACTTTGTCTTTTCCAAGTTGTCTCCTGTCCAGATCAATGAGTCATACTTTACACATTTGTTATTTATGTGCAATTTATCCCTTCCCTCTTCTGGAATGGTTTAAGCTGTTCACTTTTGAATAGTAAACTCCTGAATTATTTGTGCACTCTTTATACTGGAAGTTTATACGCTTGTACTGATGGGATGTGCATCTCCATGTCATTATAGATAGAGGTATTTACTGTACATAGGATTATGTTTCTGATACTGGTGCTTCCAGTCTAAAATGTTTCTGTAAAATGGTTGGGGTTTTTAAATTTTGTTTTGGAGTTTTTATGTTTTTGAGAGGCAGGAAATTTGTTATGTTGTAATGCAGCATTTAGTACTTTCAAAGTGCTAACTTAGAATTCCAAGGAATATATACTGTAGGAGTTAAGATAACAGTAATATTTGATGAGGCAGAACTTAGGCATACTGAAAAGCTCTCAAGATTCCTTGGAACTTGTACTGAGACTAAAAAGTCCCTGTCAAATATAAATACACCAAATGGATAGAACTATATTTAACAGTAGGATCACAGAATAGTTGTAATCACAAGGCATCTCTGGAGATTGTCTTGTCCATCTCCCCTGCTCAGAAAAAAAGTAGACTAGAGCAGGTTTCTGAAGGCCTTTTTCAGTCAGGCTGTTAGTATCCTGGGGATACACATTCTCTAGCCTGTTTGGACAGGCTCGTTTAGTGGAAAAAAAAGGAATGAGGGAAGAAAAGTTTTCTTTAAATAGTTTCCTCTATGCATGTATTTCAGATTGTGCCCATTGCCTCTTTTCACTGGCTATCATAGAGAAGAGTCTGATTCCATCATGCATACACTCTCCCATTAAACACTGATGCACATTGATATGATTCTTTTCCCTCTTCTCTTCGGCCCTGAGCTGAGCAATCCCAGCTCCTTCTGTTTCTTCTCATCCCAGAGATGCTTCAACCCTTAACAGTCTTTATGGTGATGAATTATACTAGTAGAACTTTACCTGCTAATGTGAACCTGTTTTCTTAACTCAGGAGTTGAGAACAGACACATCCATTCTGTGTCTCTGAAAACTACCTTGTTTTTAATACCTTTTTTGAAACGTGGGGACGTTATAAACAGTTGCACATTTTTCCACAGGTTTCAAGGAATGTGCACAATTTTAGTGTAGACTTACGGTATCTGGTTTTAATTGACAATTTCTAAGAAGTTACTAACACCTGACATGCTGGAACCTTCTTTGTCATTTTAATGTGTGATTCAAAATTTCAAAGAAACTTTAAAATAACATTGGATATTTTATTAATAGTAATTGTGGATCTCTTTCATTAACTATAAAGATCCATGTAGACATAGTCTACTCTTACCCTTGTGTATTATCTAACATCCTGCACCTATTCAGTTGTAGAATTCTGATTTGTTTTCTTGTACTTGTGACAGTTGTTTTTGAAAGATGAATTAGTGTTTCTTGCTGGTGGCTTTCCTGTCTCATTTTTTCATCCATTTTTCTACTCCTCTGCAAGAGTATAAATAAGTATATGATTTTCCTGTTGCCTACTAGGAAATCTCAAACTAATCTCAAGTCAATTTACTAGTCTGTTTAAAAATAAATAATTAAAAAACCTACAAGAAACCCAAAATAAAATTGTGTATATCATAAACCAACAAATATGAACATGTATAATCTAAAGTGATTTTGATAGTGTGTTCTTCAAAGTTTTCTAATAACTTACATTTTCAGGGTTATCTTGAAGAATTGGTACGACTCAGAGAAAACCAGCTGTCTGAATCTGTCTCACAGAATAAACTGCTGTTGCAAAGAATTGAAGACATGGATCTAGCCCATAAAATGGAGAAGGAGCAGCTGGAATATATCATTGTGGAACTGCAAGACCAGTTGTAAGTTAGCATAATAGAGAAGCATTGCTACAGCAGCATTACTTAAATTATTTAAGTTATATAACTATACAATATGTGGAGTTTCTAATCCTGTGGAAATGAGTCAACTTCTTAAAGAAATTGATGTATTTTAGTTTTTTTTTTTTTTTAATCTGACAAGTCTTAGTTTTGGGAATGGTTCCCTGGAAACCGTAGTAGTGTAAAACAGAATAATTCCGAGATAAAATATTTAAATTTTTAAAATCTGAAATAACTTACAGTAACTTGCTTAAATTTTATACACATTTTTATAAAATGTTCTTTATATTTCATTACTTCCAGTTTTAAGGCTACCCCTAAAAGTATTGAAACAAGCTACCTTGTGAAGATCATTTTTTAAAAGTTAGGCAAGAGGGGTAAAAAATATTTATTTTCTTTGGCTAGATTTTAATTTATTTGTGATGGCTCAGACACTGTAGAAGTTAGTCTGTTAGTCCTAAAACTATTCAAATTGGCAAAGCAGTTCACTATCACCTTTTCTTCAATGCAAGGCAAAATGCTAAAACAGTAGAAGGCTTATTTTTTATTTTTATAGCATATGTGATTTCTAGTATGATAAATATTGGAGTATCTTACGATTATTATACAGTTTATCCTCTCAGCCCTGTCTGTTGGGTGGGGAGGAACTCTCCTTTTGCAGACATTGCCACATTGGATGGGTCTCTGAGCAGCCTGGTGTAGGGGAAGGTGCCCCTGCCCATGGCAGGGTGTTGGAGCAGGATGATCTGTAAGGTCCCTCCCAACCCAAGCAGTTCTGTAATTCTGTGTTTGAAGACCCAGGCAGATGGAAAACTCAGTGATAGGTTGCCATGAAACTGCCATTCAACTGCAGCAGTTGAATGTTCTCTTCATAACAAATATAAAACAAATTGTTTTGCCTTAAATCTGGATTAATTTGTTAGTGTCTGAGCCCTGGAGTAACAAGGCAGCCTTCTGAAACAATCCACGATAAAGAGAATAAATGAAGACACCTCCAAAGGGGTCTTTACTATGAAGTAAAATATTTCAAGCTTGTAAGCAAAGCTTTGGGCTTTTTTTCTGCTGCTCTCGCTCTCATAATGGATCATTTTATTGCCAGTGCTTGAAATGGATTTTATTAAAGTGTTCAGGAATACAGAATTGGTATTTTATTTAGGCCAAATGCAGAGTTGATTAAGAAAAAAAGATGTTTTTCCAAGTTTTTTTTTTTCCTTCTGATTGACTGTAAGGTTTTGAGACATACCTATTCTTGAACTCTTCTCTGAACTTGCTGATATGCCTAATGATTCATGTTATACTGCTTTGGCATCCCTGGTTATTTGGGGGATGTGAGGGAAGGTGTAAACTTATTTAAACCTACACTGATGCTGGAAATTTTGAATGCTCATACCTGCTGTTAAATTTTAGCTGAGATGTCAGCAGTCAGACTGTTCTGAAGATCTCAGCCTTTCAGGTTTGATTTTGTTTCATGGCTTTATTGTGTAAAGGCTCAAATTGTGGAATAACCTCTGTTGTATCTTGACAGTGCTCTTGTATATCTGTTTGTGAGACACTGCAGTCAGGAGTCTGAACTACTCTAGATATTTGGGGTATAATTTTACATTTTTATCGCTGTGAGTGTAGTGTGCCTGACAGGTGAGGGAGGGGAAGAAATATTCCTAGCAGGTTTATAATGGTAAACATCAGTCATAATTAGCTTATTTTAACAATATTTGGTGTTTATGTTGGGTCTTTTATTCCAACCAAAGGTAATCTGGCAACAGAATGTGTTTTATCAGTAATATGTCTGTAACGAGGCATGAGTTTTGGCCAATTGCTTTTTATGGTCCAGCCATTTTAGAATGATGTTAAAGTAATACCAAAACTTAGTGTTTTGCTCCCCTACCATCACTGACATTTTGAAGCAGTGAATGTAAGTTGTAATCTGAATTCTTCATCAGCAGATAAGAGCAAATCTGGGACTGTAATTCTGCCCAAGGCGTACTGCATTGCTGTTTGTAAAACACTTTGAGATTGGTTTAGGATCGTTTGCTGTGTAATTGAAACTATTATAAATAAACATTCTATACTTCCTTTTTGATGATGCTCTTCTATTCTACTGGCTGCAGGCATGAAAAGCTAAATGTTTTATGTGTCTTGTCAGTGGACTTGACAGAATCTGAGTCCGTATCTATTTCTGCCTTCTTCCACCAAAAAAAAAAAAGAAGGTGAGGAATAGAGGTCTGACTTTGTTGACAGTATAGGCTGTTGCTGTTGCTGACTTGGAAACCAGTTAACCCAGGATCAACAGATCAACAAGGCCTTCAGGTTAAACATTAGATAAACATTAGATTTCCTACAGAGAAGCTTTTCTATATGCACGTCCACTAAGGGGGCTTGCTGCAAAGCATGAAATAAATATGGGGATAGGACATCAGAAAAATTTGGAAGGAATTTTTCTTTTACAGCTGCTATGCTTCATGTTCTGCAATTTTCAGTATTCTTAACTTTGTCTCACACACTTGAATATTCAAACTACAATGAAAAACATAGCTTCCAATTTAGTTAAAAGATCTCATCCATTTTACAGATCTCATGAATACCACTGTTTGGAAAATGGTGAAGCTGAAAATTTATCATTTAGTTATTCACAAGAGTAACTTTTTTTTTGTGTCTCTCAGCTTAATTGCATTCCTTAGCAATATGCCCACCCGTCTGGGGATTGGACCTCTTACTTTGTTGGCAGGTGTCTGATGGCAAATCTAGGTGGAAAAGTGAATCTGCAATAGACAACCTGATTATCAGTTCAGCACATTTAGGCTAATACACGGCTCATCAGGAAGAAGGTTCAGGCTGGACATTGGCAAACATCCCTTTACCCAGAGGGAGGTCAAACACTGCAGTAGGCTCCTGGAGAGGTGATTGATGCCCCCAGTCCATCAGTGTTCAGGAGTCATTTCAATTGTGTGAATTGTAATAATGATGAGCCACTCAGGGCCTTCATTTTTTTCTTCAGATGTCATCACTGTCATGTGATTTTTTCCCTAGGACTCGAACACTACAGAACAGTGCTTTTGGCTCCACTCTTCTCTAAGAATAGTGCATTTTTACAGTGAGGGTGAGGCAGTTCTAAAGGCCCTAAAGTACATAAAATAAACAGCTCTGAAGTTCTTGAAAATGACAACTCACAGGAGAACATCCAGGAGAAGCCTGTGATCCATGGCATGCCTAGATGAAGAAAATAGTTCAAATTCTGTAACATTCAAATTACAGAATTATCATTTGATGGGATAGGGATCCCAAAGCATCAAGAAACTGGATCATGGAGTATTTGAAATGTGCAGAGGCAGACATTCCTGCCTCCTCTATGTTTCTGGAAAGAAGTGTTGAATGTCTCTTGAAGCACAGGGACATTTGATCGCACACCCCATCAGTAAAAAAAAATTCTAAGAACCACCACAATATAGGTATAATTATTTATAAATTATATTAATATACTGTTGTGCTAATATATTATTTGCATTCTTAAACATACAAAAATAGAAAATGAAGAGTATAAGATAAAGATGAAATAAACAATTTACCTTGTTATGTAAATGTTACATTTTAAAAAATTTGTTAGCAGTACAAGAAGGGTTTTTTCCAGTACCCCAAAGGATTATCTTCTGCGTCCCACTTTGAGACCACTGCCTTGAAGGACTAGTTAGCTCAGTCAAAAATATGACTGGACAAAATCTGGAACCAGTGGCCCACAATATCCTTGCATTAAAACTCTTTAGCTCAGCTTAAACAGGCTTTTTTCCCCCCTTAGGGTGATGTTTAGTATTTCTTTTGACTAACACACAACCTGTGTTACGACAAAATCTGCTTTTGTTACTTTCAAGTTCAGATTCTGCATCTGAAGGTGATATTTATATATGTTAAATATTGATGTATGATTACAAGAGAGATTCATCAATTTCCTGATGGGCTCATTTTCTGCATATTGACTCACTGATGTTATAAAAATTGATCTCACTGATGTTATAAAAGTTGATCATGTCAACATGCAACATCTTTTTAAACAAAGTGAAAGGAAAAAGGAAAGCATTGTATGCAAAGCAGAAAAGCTCTCAAAATGCTTTAGAAGTTTTTTCTTCTGTTTTGATTTTTGCTGAAATGAGAACGGTGATTTGTATAATGTTTACCACCACAGGTTTCCTCTGAAAGAATTTTTTTAAGTTTTCAGGTTGGTGTGCCTGGTGTAAGAAGTTGTGGCCCCTTTGTCCCCAGTGGTGTAACTTTTTAATCAGTTTATCACATTTATGGGAAATTTGTTTTGTACATTCAAAATAACATATGTTTTATGTACATACAACTATGCTATATTTTATACCATTCTTTTTTATCTCCCACTACTGTTTCTTTGTAGATCCCCATCTTGTTATAGTATTCTGTGGAGGGGAGAAAAGTTAGGGGGGAGAAAAGTCAGTCTTCCGTGTTTGGAATTCTTTTACTGGTTAAGGCATAGATAAGCATCAAATTAAATTGAAGGGACACTCACATCTTATACTGTATTAAGCTTGACTGTGGAATTAAGAATTTTTTTAATGTGTTGTCATATCTTAAAGATAGGTTTAATTTGTCTGGCTGTTTCTTCAGAATTAGCCTTTTCAAGGTCCAAACTATGCTGTTCCTCCATTCTTAATGTCAATATAATGTAATATTTGATTATATTAATAATACTTAATATTTTAATATCCAGCAATACTACATTTTCTATCTGAATAATACAGCTGTATTTGTAAAGAGAGTAAATTCGGATGTGATTAACTCCAGGTAAAATTGGCTTCTCTGTTTCAAACACACCATGACCTACCAAGTCTATTATGGACTACATGAAGGAAGATACACTATATTCTCTGTTAGCAAAGATGATTTCTTTTCAGTGCATGGTCATGCCCCATTTGGTTAAAAACTTGCTTATTAAAATAGTATCTCTGCTTGTCCTCGCTTTGTCAAAA